CAGCCTCCCGAGTAGCTGGGGTTATAGGCATCTGCCATCACACCAAGCTAATTTTTGTATTTTAAATAAAGATGGGGTTTTGCCATGTTAGCCAGGCTGTTCTTGAACTCCTGACCTCAAGTGATCTGCCTGCCTTGGCCTCCCAAAGAGCTAGGATTACAGGCGTGGGCCACCACACCCAGAATTTTTTTTTTTTTTTTTTTGGTAAGGTTACTTGACTGGTAAAAAGGGGAAATCTTACAGTAGTGTTTTTTTTTTAATTGTTATTATTATGGCAAGTCACTTTATGAAATCCTTGGGAACAGATGGAGAAATGTTGCCAGATGTTAACCATATTAGGGGAGATCACTGCTGGCTTAAGAACAACATTGGAGACCTTTCCTGTTGTCTCCCGCTCCGCCATGGCTCCTAAAGGCAGTTCCAAACGGAGGAGGACCTGCTCCTGCAGGATTTCAGCCGCAACCTCTCGGCCAAGTCCTCCGCGCTGTTCTCGGGAACGCGTTCATTGTGTCTGCCATCCCCATCTGGTTATACTGGAGAATATGGCATATGGATCTTATTCAGTCTGCTGTTTTGTATAGTGTGATGACCCTAGTAAGCACATATTTGGTAGCTTTTGCATACAAGAATGTGAAATTTGTTCTCAAGCACAAAGTAGCACAGAAGAGGGAGGATGCTGTTTCCAAAGAAGCGACTCGAAAACTTTCTGAAGCTGATAATAGAAAGATGTCTCGGAAGGAGAAAGATGAAAGAATCCTGAGGAAGAAGAATGAAGTTGCTGATTATGAAGCTACAACATTTTCCATCTTCTATAACAACACTCTGTTCCTGGTCTTGGTCATTGTTGCTTCCTTCTTCATATTGAAGAACTTCAACCCCATAGTGAACTACATTTTGTCCATAAGTGCTTCATCAGGACTCATCGCCCTCCTGTCTACTGGCTCCAAGTAGACCATGTCTGCTTGCCCCCTGGCTTTGTGTCTATGGGTGGCCTGTGGTATATGGAAAAGTAGCAGGGTGGTCAGGGTGGGAGACACACAAGATGTTTTTACAGTCTAGAGCCTTAAAAAAAACCCAACAGAGGCCGGGCGCTGTGGCTCATGCCTGTAATCCTAGCACTTTGGGAGGCCGAGGTGGGTGGATCACCTGAGGTCAGGAGTTCAAGACCAGCCTGGCCATCGAGGTGAAACCCCACCTTAAAAAATAAAAAATAAATAAATAAAAAGAAATCGGAGGAACCACAGTTCATTTCCTGTGGACAAACATTCCCTTATCCTTGGCCGGGCGCGGTGGCTCAAGCCTGTAATCCCAGCACTTTGGGAGGCCGAGGCGGGTGGATCACGAGGTCAGGAGATCGAGACCATCCTGGTCAACATGGTGAAACCCCGTCTCTACTAAAAATACAAAAAATTAGCTGGGCATGGTGGCGCGTTTCTGCTCTCTTTTTTTTTTTTTTTTGAGACGCAGTTTCGCTCTTGTTACCCAGGCTGGAGTGCAATGGCGCGATCTCGGCTCACCGCAACCTCCGCCTCCTGGGTTCAGGCAATTCTCCTGCCTCAGCCTCCTGAGTAGCTGGGATTACAGGCACGTGCCACCATGCCCAGCTAATTTTTTGTATTTTTAGTAGAGACGGGGTTTCACCATGTTGACCATGGATGGTCTCGATCTCTTGACCTCGTGATCCACCCGCCTCGGCCTCCCAAAGTGCTGGGATTACAGGCTTGAGCCACCGCGCCCGGCCCCAGATTGTTGAAATTAAATGAATTGAAAGGGAAAAAAAAAAAAAAATTGGAGGCCAGGCGAGGTGGCTCACGCCTATAATCCCAGCACTTTGGGAGGCCGAGGCAGGCGGATCACGAGGTCAGGAGATCGAGACCATCCTGGCCAACATGGTGAAACCCGGTCTCTACTAAAAATACAAAAATTAGCTGGGTGTGGTGGTGTGCACCTGTAATCCCAGCTACTCAGGAGGCTGAGTCAGGAGAATGCCGTGAACCCAGGAGGCAGAGAGTGTAGTGAGCCAAGATCGTGCCACTGCAGTCCAGCCTGGCAACAGAGCCAGATTCCATCTCTTTTTTTTTTTTTTACTTTTTTTTTTTTAAAGATGGGGTTTCACCATGTTGGCCAGGCTGGTCTTGAACTCCTGACAGGTGATCCACCCACCTCGGCCTCCCAAAGTGCTAGGATTACAGGTGTGAGCCACTGTGCCTGACCGACTCCATCTCAAAACAAAAACATAGAACCCACAAAATCAGCCGGGCGGGGTGGTGGGTGCCACCTGTAGGATTAAAGGATTACACCTGTAATACTAACACTTTGGGAGGCCAAGGAGGGAGGATCACTTGAGGCCAGGAGTTCCAGACCAGACTGGGCAACATAGTAAGTTCCTGTGTCTATTTCTTTAAAAAATTTGAAGATGAGCAATTACTCACAAATCAGTGTCAAACATGATGGGAAAAACTCTATTCTTAACCACGGCCTATTCAACATATTTATCGAGGTTCTATCTATCTATCTAATCTATCTATCTATCTATCCATCCATCTATTGAGATGGATTCTCACTCTGTCACCCAGGCTGGAATGCAGTGGCTCGATCTGGGCTCACTGCAACCTCCTCCTTCCAGTTCAAGCAATTCTCCCTCAGCCTCCCAAGTAGCTGGGATTATAGGCGCCCAACACCCTGGTCGGCTAATTTTTTTTGTATTTTTAGTAGAGACAGTGTTTCACCATGTTGGCCAGGCTGGTCTCAAACTCCTTACCTCAACTCATCCCCCCGCCTTGGCCTCCCATAGTGCTGGGATTACAGGCATGAGCCACTGTGCCCAGTCCTCAAGTTTTTTTTTGTTTGTTTGTTTTTGAAGATGGAGTCTACTCTGTCACCCAAGCTGGAGCGCAGTGGCAAAATCTCTGCTCACTGCAACCTCTGCCTGGGTTCAAGCGATTCTCCCACCTTAGCCTCCTGGGTAGCTGGGATTATAGGACATCTGCCACCACGCCCAGCTACAGCCCTCAAGGTTTTAAATGAAGACAAATTAGAGATGTTGGTGAATATTTTGCCCAAATTGAAAGGGCTCATGTCTCTTAAACTAGGAAAGGGTAACTGCAGCTCATCAATCATTGCACTTAGCACATTCTTTTCACCTGGACAGTCTGACTCCTCCACTAGACAGATTCTAGATCTTGTTTTGGAATCCTCTAGGTTGGTGCTTGGCACACAGTAGGATGCTCAGCTAATTAAAAAACTTTTTTTTTTTTTTTTTCTTTTGTAGAGATGGGGATCTTGCTTTGTTGCTGGGGCTGGTCTTGAATTCCTGGGCTTAAATGATCCTCCCACCTTGGTCTCCCAAAGCATTGGGATTACAGGGGTGAACCACTGTGCCTGGCCTCAACAAATACTTGTTGATTTTACACAAATGGAAATGCATGAACAGATCATATTCCAAGACTCCAGGAGTCATTAGGAAAGGATCCAAACTAACCAGATGCTATTTAAAAGTTACAAAAAAAATATTCATGTTGGAAGTTTTAAAAAAATAGTAATTGCACAAAAGGACAGGGAAAATAGTTGACAGTGGTTCACCTAAAAAAGCCCTCCCCCCGACCTTTTCTTTTTTCGAGTGAGGTGGCTGCAGATTTCTATGAAAAAATTAATTCTTCAGCTACTTTATGGAACTCTGGATCTCCCAGCTATGCAGTAGGTGATGCTAGAAGCACCGCAAGGCGAAATGTACAAATTTAAGGAAGGTTATTGCCCTATGTTCTTTTGCATGGGTCTGTATCTAGCACTGGGAGCCACGTTTTGTATTGCTTATTGGGAGAGATAAAAATGGTATATACATGAATAACTAAAACAATACGTGGTAAATGCTAAAAGAGAGGTGCAAAGAACACTGAGATGGAGCTTTCCTGGGTTACACAACCAGGTCTAACGTTTCCTAACATAGAAGAGCTTTCAACAAACCTCTCAGGCAGGCTGCCTTCAAATGACATTACTTCTCCCAAATACCTAATTGCATATATTTCAAGACAACTCTAAATGTTAGAGGATTTTTTGAGCTAAAATATACTGCCTTGTAATTTCTATTGGTTTTAGTTCTGCACTTTGGAGTAGAGAATAAGGCTCCGTTATTTCCAATATTATACTATTCAGTTATTTGAAGACAGCTTCCAATTTCCATGCCCAACCCTTTCCTTCGTTGTTTTGTTTTGTTTGACAGACTTTCGCTCTTGACGCCCAGGCTGGAGTACAATGGCTTGATCTCGGCTCATTGCAACCTCCGCCTCCCGGGTTCAAGCGATTCTCCTGCTTCAGCCTCCCAAGTAGCTGGGATTATAAGTGCCCGCCACCACGCCCAGCTGATTTTTGGAATTTTTGGTAGAGACAGGGTTTCGCTATTTTGGGCAGGCTGGTCTGGAACTCCTGACCTCAGGTGATCCGCCCACCTCGGCCTCCCAGTCTGGCATTACGGCTGTGATCCTCTGCGCCCGGCCTCCCTCGTTTATAAACAGGTTAAAAATTCCTTTGAGCCTTCAACTATTTTTCTTCTTTTTTTTTTTGTTTTTTTGTTTTTGTTTTTTTAAAGGAGTTTCACTCTTGTTGCCCAGGTTGGAGGGCAATGGCGCAATCTTGGCTCACTGCAACCTCCGCCTCCCAAGTTCAAGCGATTGTCCTGTTTCAGCCTCCTGAGTAGCTGGGATTACAGGCGCAAACCACCACGCCCGGCTAATTTTTGTATTTTTAATACAAACGGGAGAAAGAAAAAAAAGAAAAGAAAGAAAGAAAGAAAAGAAAAGAAAGAAAGAGAAAGGAAAGAAAGAAAAGAAAAAAGAAAGAATGGTTCACTGTGTTATGTTGGTCAGGCTGGTCTCGGACTCCTAACAGGGGTAAGCCACCGCCCCTGGCGCCTTCAAACCTTTCTTATTTGACATGGCTTCAAGCTTCCTTACCACCCTAGTGACGCCTTCGCCCCGTTTCTCCTCCTTGCCACCCTTGGGGAGTAAGGATGAATACAGGCGAATGCCAGAGGAAGCGTAGTTTTTCCGAAGAGCTGAAGGCAGCCTGTGATTACGCCCTTAGCGCTTCCCCTTCTCTGTTTTCTGATCTCCTAATACACGTCCGTAAGTATCACAAGACCCTGCAAGTCCCTCAAATATTCTTGAAATCTGAAGACTTTCAATCTTCCGGGCCCCCAGTCTCTCTCCCGGCACTAGGATCTACTCTATGGTAGAGAGCTCAGCCTTTCTAGCTCTCTAGTCCTCCGACTGCCCCATCTATGGTTTCGGAGCCCTCACCGGAAGCCTTCGTGTAGGGCCTTGTGGGAGGCCGGAAGTTGCGGACTCAATACTCGCCATTTCAAAATGCTGCCTAGGCCCTGGGACCTGTGACTGTCACCCCTCCCCCTCCCCGGGCTCGACCGGGGAGACATTCATGGAGCTGCCGTAAGGTGTGGCTCTTGGCCTTCGTCGGCGGGGTGTCGCGCGCGGTAGCTGGAGAGTGAGGAGTGGGCGGCTGTACCGCCAATTGCTCGGGCTTGGGAGTGGGGGTAGCGGGTGGGAGGAGCTTGAGGCGTGGGTCCGGCGGCTTGGGGAAGGCCGCGCTGGGCGGAAGGAGGACTCGGTGGAAGGGGAAGGGTTGTGGGATAAGGGTTCGCGGAAGATAAAAGTGGGGG